CAAGATGACGGGTAAAATATGAGTTTTAGAGCTGGAGTATATCATAATTTATAATATTTCATTCAAAACTTATTTCTGGTTTTTTTAACGGTGTGCCATCATCACAGGGGGAACTGTGGCATGTACGTTTTGAAGTTCGCTGAGTTTCTTATGATGGGCATGGACATAAAGGAGGTAAGCTCGATGGACATGTGCATGTATCGGGAGAAAATGGCAACATAGTTGGTTTTGTATAACGCAAAGAGAACAAGGGAATGTAAAATGAAGGAGGCAGCTTCGAGAAACATGGCAGAAAAAGGATGAAAAATTACAAATCTAGTCTGATGATGCTTTACGGATGTTATGTTTTTAGTATTTGAATTTTATGTAATGGTGTTGAATGTTTTTGCAAACTGTGGAAGTAAACTGATGATATTGTGAAGCACAATATGCTGAAATATAAGTGGCAGAATGTAGTATACTATGTTTTTAAATGCCTAAATATTGGCATAGTTGGGAGAACATTATATATGACATTATATTTGGTTCATTATGTAGTCACATGGATATAAATTGGTTTTTTTAGTAATGAGACAAGTATTAAAATAACATCTGGAAAGGGTAACACATACACGGCTGGATACTAATCATGTCCATAGTGGCAAAATGTTCTATAATTTGGTTGAAAATGCCACAATGTTGGCCGTTTTGTAAGATAAATGTTTTATATTGTGAGTTGGATATACATTGGGTGTGTTATTAATGACACAAGTATTACATTAAAATATGAAAAAGGTTAACAGGCAGAACACTCGATTATAATCATAAGTCAATAGTGGCAAAAGGTCGCATATTTTGTTTGAGAATAACTAAATATTGGCAGTTTTGTGAGATAAATAGATTAGATTTATTATATAGACATTTGCATATACATTTTGGTTTTTCTATTAATGAGAGAAGTATTACACTCAGAATGAAAAAGGATAACAGGTAGACAACTGAATTAGAATCACACATCCATTTACTTTGAAATGAATGCCTGGACTGCAAATATATGTGGCAGAATACATTGTACAACGTTCCAAAATTCAGAAATATTGGCATTTTAGAGGAAAAATGAATAGAGCCAAAGAAGTACATAGCAATTGTAAAAATTGTGCCACAAAAAAAACATATTACCTACAAATTAAAATCAATGGCAAACATTTGACATTAAAAAAACAAAAAGTAACACAAATGTTAAGTAGTTTACATGTATTAAAAGAAAGGCACTGTAGTATAATATGCCCTAAGAAAATGATCCAATACAAAAATAACAAGTATTGAATTCAATGGAATCATAGTGAAGTAGGTAATGGTATCACATTGCGACAAGTCTTCTTATTGTGACCAACAACATGGCACCGAGAACATTTTTGCCGTTTTGTCCCACGATGCTCACCAATAGATGGTATCCTTGACTTTCTCGGACGACCAGCTGGCCTTTTCTCACAAAGGGGAGGCTTGCAGCGAATGCTCAAAACATTGGAAGGAACCACCCAAGATGACGGGTCTGTAATTGGATGCATAACAGCACTCCAAGTAGAATACCAATAGTGGCGTGTGTAATATGGAGAAATAAAATCATAGCACGACAGGTGAGGTCGAACACCAATAACAGCAACAGCATGAATGCAAACAAAATGAGACAATTGAAACTCCCCACATGTACATGCCTTGGCATTGAGATCAACAACAAAAGAACGGGAATGTCTATCAACCACTTCAAATTCCAAATATGAGCACGGCTTTACCTAGAATAATGAAAAAGTGAACAATAATATGTAACTTGACAATGGAAAAGGACAATGCAAAAACATATAAGAAACTGTATGAAAAATCCGAAGGTGGCAGAATGTACCATATGTTGTAGGAAACTTCCAAAGATTAGGCATTAATATAAATGGACAGAAATATTGCAGAAGAAAAAACAACTAACCCTGAGTTTCCTAGCTTGACTTTGAAGTGAAACCAGTAGCTTTTCACGTTTTTTTGTCAAAAAAGAGGTTGTCTTCTCAGCCTTTTCCTTTCTCTCAGTGAACCATTGTTGCATTCTTACTCTCAAAAAGTCAATGAGTTTAGCGACAGAATACTCCCTTGCTGAAACATCTACATTGTTCATTGACTCTGCACAATTTGATGTCATTATATCATACCTACGAGGACCACACATGCACTTTGCCCATTTATGACTGCCAATTTTTTCTAGCCATGGTCGTATACGGGTATCTTCGGAATCCAACAATGCCATGTACTCTTCATACTCCTTCACAGTTGAAGCCATATAAGCAGCTTTGAACTTCCAACCTAAATCAACCGCGGAGTCCTTGAATTTAGAAATCATGTTACGACGCAAATGCTCAACACAATATCCATGACCAGCATGTGGAAAAATCTTTTTAACTGCACTAAGCAAGCCCTTATGTCTATCTGATACAATGTACATGTCCTCGCGGAACATCAATGCTTCACGAACTTTAGAAAAAAACCATATCCAAGACTCTTTAGATTCTGAATCACATATGCCAAATGCTAGTGGGACAATTTGGCCATTTGCATCTTGAGCACAAGCTGTGAGAAGGGTACCCTTGTAATACGCCTTCAAAAATGACCCGTCTGCAATGAGAACTGGTCTGCAATATTTCCACGCCTCCATCCAAGGTAAGAGGGATATGAAAAAATAACGGAAGGTATTATCTTCTGAAGTTATAAGAGAAATTAGAGAATTTGGATTAGCTTTTTCAAGAGCATAGGCCAAAGACGGTAGCAATTGGTATGAGTCAGAATCTGTTCCAAACTGTTTCTGCATAGCTATCTTCTGAGCTTTCCAAGCCTGCGCGTAAGAAATGGAAATACCATGATTCAGAAGCATGTCTTCCCTTATTTCATTTGGCCTATAAGGCTTTTTTGACGCATCTAAAAATTTATGCGATACAAGCTCTCCAACAGTGCGGTAGGTCGTTTGGCGATGTTTGCCTTGACGAAAATCAAAAGAGCACATATGTGATGATGTAAATCTGCAGAAAACAAAGTACTAAAAATGTGAATATGAAAAGAATATGGAAAATATGCCAACATAATGGAATAAAAGACAGACAAGATGGTTCACTAAATATACAGGTAATGGAGAAATACCTTCGTATCTGAAACATTTGGACACCACATAGTCTTACAGCCCTCACAGCCCATTTACAATTTTTATCCAAGCAGATAACGTGTAAACATGTCTTCTTTGATGTTAGTGTCCTGAATTGGAACACATTATCTATTGCGTACAGCTTCAAATGGTGAAGAAGATCTGCTTTAGAATTGTAAATAGCATGCAATACAATCTGAGTGGGGTGATAGTGAGTGATGACATCGAGATTATGATGAACAGAAAAATTGTCATTACACATTGAAGAAGGTGACGGAGTAGAGCTAACTTCTGGGGTAGGACTACGAGAGAGCACATCTGTATTGGTCATATGAGTTTGGGAAGTGTCTGTAACATTGACCTCATTATTAACTTGGACGTAATGTTCTTCAATACTGTTGAAAGAAGAACGAATATGACCAGAAGATTGATTTAAGAAACATGGAATTTCTGGTAGAACAGTTTGTGCAACAGAATTTGTGGGACAAGATAAAACAGGTTGTGCAACAGGTTGATCAACCAAGAATTCCACACACAAGGGAGATTTTTGAAAATCAGTTTGAAGAGACTTAAGATAAAGGTAAAAACGAAACGTTTCGTCATCATGGATAGAAACAGGTGGAGGACAACCATCAACAATGTAAGAAAGATTAAAGTGGTTATTTGATTTGTAAGGAGAAAATATGGAAGATAATTGTTCCATGAATGCTGTGTAGTTAGCAGAGAAAAGAACTTGCATAGCAAAGGTGGATCTGCAATTGAAGTTGTAGTCATTGTCCAAGTACCATCAACTTTCACCATAAGCAGAAGAACATGATCCATATTGACAACTAAGGAGAAAAAGAATAAGAAACAGAACTAAAAAACGTCATAATCATATAGCAAAATGCCAAATTTATGGCAATAACAAAGAAACAGAATTAAATAAAACAGTATAACAACAAAGGCATACAACCTTATGAAAAACGCCAATAATTCACAATGATTCAGATTGTGAACTTGGTCAAAAAAACAGTATAACAAAGAAACAGAATTAACCAAGTTCACAATGGCAAGTTTATGGCAATAACAAAGAAACAGAATTAACGTATAGCAAAAAACGTCATAAACCTATAGCAAAATGCCAAGTTTATGGCAATAATAAAGAAACAGAATTAACCAAAATCACAATGATTCAGATTGTGAACTTGGTCAAAAAAACAGTATAACAAAAAAGGCATATAACCTTATGAAAAACGCCAAGTTTTTAGCAATAACATCCCTGACAGTGATCAAGCAATGAATCTCACATGAAACAAGACATTAGAATTGATGTAGTCAATCTAGGGCACTTGTCGTGATGCTTCGTGCTTGGTCTTTATACATTTATAGAATTGATGTAATTATTTATATATTGTACTTTTAAGTAATTTTTTTGTACCCCATTTGCTAATTTTTGTTGTTGAAAAGTTATATTTCTTCAATTGTTGGATCAAGTAATATTTTTTAGGTAACATCTTGATGGTAAAGTAATTTCGAACATCCAACATTGAGTTGCAAAATCCACCACTCATACTAGACCAATCTTACCAGAATAGATCCAACTTAACACTATATATTACAATAGAACATTCTAGACTTAATTAAATAGACTATTCCAACATACTATACCTAAACAAATTGAATCAAAATAATTCCAACATTACAAAATCAATAATAGTCAATTAAAGCTTAAAATTCATAGCTTTACAGAAAGTAGTTGTTTCACAAGCCTTATGATTTATTTTATGAAGTGTCAATTTTTTACTAATACTATGTATCAATGTATTACATGCCTAATAATTTCAGCGAATATTTTCGGTTTCAAGGATGACAAGTGCACTTTCCAGATCCACTTTCCATTTTCGGAAACAATTATTACCACCACGAACTCGTGGACGCAGTCAATCTAGGGCACGTGATCGTGATGGTGCTGTTCATCAAGTGGTGAGAGAAACAAGCAGTATGGTTTATTCTATCCTGACTCGTACGAACTATGCTGAGTGGTCCTTGGTGATGAGGGTCAACCTGCAAGCACAAGGGCTGTGGTGAGCGGTTGAAGATGAAAATGTCAATTATCGGGAGGATAGGCAAGCCTTGTCTGCAATCTTACGGGCAGTACCACCCGAAATGCTCTCAACATTAGCTGTGAAGGACACTGCAAAGCAAGCATGGGATACGATTAAAACACAACGAATGGGAGTTGATCGTGTTCGGGAAGCCAACGCACAGAGGCTTCAAATGGAATTTGAATCAATCAGGTTCAAGGATGGTGAAACCGTTGATGATTTCTCCATGAGGATCACCAGTCTCGTGAACAACATGCAAGTTCCCGGGGACACGGTGGAAGAGAAACGGGTTGTGAAGAAATTCCTACGTGTAGTACCACCACGGTACACACAGGTAGCAATTGCGATTGAAACGTTGCTTGATCTAAGCACTCTGTCAAGTGATGAACTTGCTGGAAGATTACGATCGGCAGAGGAGTGTTATGGGATTGGTGAGCCAGACATCAACCCGGGTGCTCAACTCCTTCTTACGGAAGAGGAATGGCGAGCACGAGAAAGGGAACGTGAGAATACTGGATGGTCATCAAGTAGTGGAAATCCAAAAGGTTACATTCGTGGGAACGGTCGTGACAAAGGCTTTGGAAAAGGGAAGTGTTATTATTGTGGAATTTCAGGTCATTTTGCTAGAGAATGTCGAAAACCACGACGGGAATGGAAGCAGGAGGCACATTTAAGCATGTTTGAAGATGATCAGCCTGCTTTACTCATGGCATCAACAACAAACATCTGTAGTCCAGCTCATACACAAACCTCAGGTGACTCTCATTATGTGTACTTGAGTGAGGAGCATGTCCATCCAGTTTATACAGGGAAGGATGTATGGTACTTTGACACTGGAGCTAGTAACCATATGTCAGGATGTCGTGAAATTTTCATGATGCTAGACGAAGGAGTAAAAGGCTCAGTCAAGTTAGGTGATGGCTCGGTGGTAGAAATCTGGGGCTGCGGGTCTGAAATGTTTTTGTGTAAAACCAAAGAACACAAGGTGCTTACCGAAGTATATTTCATGCCGAGATTGCGCAGTAACATCATTAGTATTGGGCAACTTGATGAGAATGAATGCAAAACAGTGATTGAAAATTGTACATTGTGTCTGTTTGATCTGAAAAGGGTTCTATTAGCACAAGTGCCTCGAGCCAAGAACAGGTTGTATACTGTGACTTTAGAGTTAGTTTCTCCAGTATGTTTATTATCCAAATTAAATGATATTGCATGGTTATGGCGTGCTCGTTATAGTCATTTGAACTTCCGTTCCTTACGATGTCTGGCACAAGAAAGTTTAGTGGAGGGGATCCCACTGATTGATCATATTGATCAATTCTGTGATAGTTGTGCACTTGGAAAACAACACCGAAGTTCATTTCCACAAGCATCAACCTACCGCGCAAGTAGTGGCCAAGAGCTTGTTCACGTTGATTTATGCGGTCCTATTGCACCAGTCACACCCGGAGGTAATCACTACTTTTTACTTATAGTTGATGACTATAGTAGATATATGTGGTTAGAAATGTTAAAGACAAAGGATGAGGCTTTTAAGCATTTCAAGAAGTTTAAGACACGAGCTGAAGTAGAATCTCAAGGGAGACTTATGGCATTTCGATCAGATCGTGGTGGTGAGTTCAACTCTAATGAGTTTAGAGAATTCTGTGATGAACATGGGATCAAGCATTGCACCACTGCTCCTTACTCTCCACAGCAAAATGGAGTCGTTGAGCGTCGTAATCAAACAATACTTGAAATGGCAAGGTGTGTGCTGAAAGGGATGGGAATGCCAACTATGTTTTGGGGAGAGGCAGTGAAGACGGCGGTGTATATCCTGAATCGATCACCAACATGATGCCTAGAAGGAAAAACACCTTATGAGGCGTGGTTCCATAGAAAACCAAAGGTGCATCATTTCAGAACCTTTGGCTGCCTTGCTCATGTGAAAAGGATTGGACCTAGTGTGACAAAACTGGTGGATCGATCAACACCAATGGTCTTCATTGGTTACGAAGAAGGCTCTAAAGCATACCGGGCGTATGATCCAACGGCAGAGACTCTTCATGTAACCTGAGATGTGTTATTTGAAGAGAACAAGGGATGGAATTGGTTAATGGAGGAACAAGATCAACCTGTGAGGAGTTTTACAGTTGAAGTCTTGAATGATCATGTGCAAGGCCCAAATCCCACAAAACCTAACACAACACCTTTGTCTGTACATACTGGAAACCGAAATGGAACCACACCAGAGTCAGAGGAGCGTGAACCTAGGTACCGCACTATTACTGAACTTTATGAAGCAACTGAGGAACTTCATCCAAGCTTGAGTGGACTGTGTTTACTTGCTGCTGATGAAACTATGAATCTGGAAGAGGCACTCAAAGAAAAATGTTGGAGGCAAGCTATAGAGGAGGAATTGTCTTCCATTCAAAAGAATGAAACATAGGAATTTACTACTCTTCCAGCAGGGTGTAAGGCTATAGGCCTAAAGTGGGTGTTTAAAGTAAAAAAGGATCCAGCAGGAAATATTGTGAAACATAAAGCTCGCTTGGTCGCAAAAGGGTACGTTCAAAGACAAAGTGTTGACTTTGATGAAGCTTTTGCACCTGTGGCTAGAATGGAAACGATACGTCTTTTATTAGCTCTTTCTGCTCATAATGCTTGGAAAATACATCATATGGATGTTAAGTCAGCTTTCCTGAATGGAGATCTTGAAGAAAATGTGTTTGTTCATCAGCCACCTGGTTTCATTGATGATCGTAATGAGGAGAAGGTACTGAAGCTGTGAAAGGCTTTGTATGGTTTGCGACAAGCACCGCGAGCTTGGAACACCAAGTTAGACTCCTCACTTGTTTCTCTCGATTTTAAAAGAAGTTCACATGAACATGCTGTGTATCGGAGATCAAATGGTTCTACTTGCTTGTTGGTGGGAGTATACGTGGATGATCTAATCATCACCGGGAGCTCTGACAGTAACATTGCAGCATTCAAGAATGAAATGAAGAGGTTGTTTGATATGAGTGACCTTGGTTTATTAAGTTACTATCTTGGCATTGAAGTAAGGCAAAGAAACGGGGAGATCACCATCTGTCAAAGTGTTTATGCTGAAAGAATTCTTTCCATGTCGGGCATGACTGAGTGTAATCCATGCCACACACCAATGGAAAGTCGTTTGAGATTGAGCAAGAACGGTGCTGGAAACATTGTGAACGCAATGCAATATCGGAGTTTGGTTGGGAGCCTTAGTTATCTTTGTAACTCAAGGCCTGATATTCTCTTCTCAGTCGGGCTGCTGAGCAGGTTCATGGAAGCCCCAAAAGCCTCACATTGGGCAGCTTTGTAGAGGATCCTGCGATACATTAGAGGAACAACTGGGTATGGTTTCTGTTACAAGAAAATAAATCGATCTGAGCCTATTTTAATCGGTTATAGTGATAGTGATCATGGAGGTGATGTTGATGATTGCAAGAGTACTACAGGAGTTGCATTCTTCCTTGGATCAAGTCTGATTTCCTGGTTATCTCAAAAGCAAAAGGTAGTTGCTCTTTCATCTTGTGAGGCAGAATATATGGCCAGTGCTACTGCAGCTTGCCAAGGAGTTTGGCTAAGTCGTTTGTATGGTGAACTAACGAATTCTGAGCGTAAGAAGGTGCAGCTATTGGTGGACAACAAATCAGTCATTGAGTTAAGCAAGAATCCAGTGCATCATGATCGAAGCAAGCATATTGATATCCTTTTTCACTTTATTCGTGAATCCAGTGCATCATGATCGGAGTAAGCATATTCAAAATGGTTCAGTGGAAGTTAATCACATTGGAACAAATAATCAATTGGCTGATATTCTGACTAAGTCACTTGGAAGAATCAGGTTTCTTGAATTAAGAGCTAAGCTTGGAGTAATTAAATTTATTCCAGATAACTAGATTAAGGGGGGGATTGCTGAGTAATCTAGTTGGCTGCTGGCGTGGATTATGCAGAGAGTTGCTGATATTTATTTATTTTTTTTGGTATTTTAATTTCAGTTTGTAAATAAGAGACTTGGTCTCAATTTGTTACTCTGTTTCTAGAAATATGCAGTAGTGGTTTGTTCCTAGAAATACGCAGTAGTGGTCTAGTGGATAGGAGTATTACGTTGCTATTGTTCAGTTATTTATATGCTTAATGAAACATCAGAAAAAGCTGTGAGTTTGCAGCACAAACTACCTGCGTTACTTTCATGTTTTCTCTAGCCAAATTACTTTAGTTTCAACAGTATATATGTATAGTTGCTGAAATCTCTAAAATATTAACACCACACCTATTGTCCTTAAGGTTTGAATTTTCTTATTGGCTCCACCTTTTGGGGCATCAGACTCGATCCACCAACACTATACTCAATCAATCCCACCAAAATGCTGGGACCATTTTTTTTACTTCCACTCATTTAATGTTGCTCCTTCCGTTCCGCTAAAATTGTTCTATTTTATCTTTTCGAGAAATCTCACTAATATTGTCTAACACTAAATTTGGTAAGTTTGTGTGACTCTATGTCATTCTTACTTTATTCTTATTTTATCAATTCATATCAACCACATAAATCCACTTTTCCTAATTAACGTCGGTGGGGCGGAGGTAGTAATATATACTACTTATGACGGTGTGTATATACTCCATACAATAATAACATAAATTGGAACAATAAAGTAAAATACAAAGACAATTAAACATAACAAATTAATATTCCAATAGAAACCAAATTATCCGGCAAAAAGTAGACATGAAAAATTATTGTTGAAGTCTTCTTTTGTATCGAAAACACGACATTTTCGTGGGAAAATCCTTAATATAGACACATTATGAGTTAAATATGTAATGTTACACTAATGTTTACTCCTAAGATTGCCCCGAGATAATGTTTGTATCTTATACGGAGTATATGTGTGTTTATTGTATAATTATAAAATACGTACTACGTAGAAGAAAGCAAACAAGACTAGCCGTAACATGATGTGAGCCGATAGATTTAGAAAATAATAATAACAAAATACACATACTAGTAGGGCTGGGTCCGAAAACCAAAAACCGAATCAAATTGAACTGAATTGCAGCCAAATAAAACCGAATCGCTAAAAAACTGAAACCGAATGTAAAAAACCGAACCAAACCGTAGTTGTTTGGTTCGGTTTTGGTTTTTACCCTTCAAAACCGAATCGAACCAAACAAACCGAACTAATTAAATATGAAATTTATTTGTTAATTGTTAAACATTAATTCTAATTAATCCTAATATCATCAATAGTCTTTGGTTTTCTTGTGCTAGAGAAATAATGTTTGTGTTATGTTTAGTTTAGTTTAGTTTATAAATTCATTTACACATTCATTGCATGTAAGCCGTAATAATGTAGTTATATTGAATGATGATAATATGATTTTAATTACTAGTTATTAGTAGTAATTAACTTTTGTCTTTAGATAACTTAAATATTTTATATTAATAAAACAATATATATTCATCTCAACTATATAACATAGAACGTATATATTCATGAATTTTTTTCGAACTAGTCACAAACAATGTAAATTAATAATATATACACTTTTATCTCTCTCGCATACTCATATAATTCATGACATATTTATTTCTTCTCATTTTTATTTTATTTGTTGTATTGTGCTTGCATTATTTATGTAAAATGTTTCATCCCTCTAAGTATTATATCAATTCCGAATCGAAACCGAACCGAACTTTTTACTTGGATTCTATATTTGGTTTTAGGTCAAAACCAAACCGCAAGAACCGAACCCACCCCAACATACTAGACAATGGCGGATCTTCTTTGTTTAAAGGTGTTCATGTGAACACCCAATATTTTGGAAATTATATGCAAAAATACATGTATTGAATTGATGTAATTATTTAGATATTGTACTTTTACGTAATTATTTAGTTTTGTATCCCATTTGCTAATTTTTGTTGTTAAAAAGTTATATTTCTTCAATTGTTGGATCAAGTAATATTCTTAGGTAACATCTTGATGGTAAAGTAATATGATAGACTTGTCTTACCAGAATAGATCCAACTTAACATTATTTATTAGAGTAGAACATACTAGACTTAATTAAATAGACTATTCCAACATACTATACCTAAATAAATTGAATCAAAACAATTCCAACCTTACCAAATCAATAATAGTCAATTATAGCATAAAATTCATAGCTTTATACAGAGTAGTTGTTTCACAAGCCTTTTGGTTTATTCTATATGAAATGTCAATTTTTTTACTCATACTACGTATCAAATTGTTTACCCGTGCAAGCTGGAAAGTGGAAAGATTCTTAAGGACTTTAAGAGCCAAAATGAACGGGGAGAGGAAAATTGTTACCTAGCTAGTAAGATTTAGAAAATTATTACATGCCTAATAATTTCAGTGAATATTTTCACTTGTATTAATGTGATCTATATAAGTCTAGTCTAATTTATATAAGTCTGATTTGGTTTGACATAATCTTTAAAGTCTGTTATTATGTGTACTTTATTGTGGTATAAGTGATATGATGTGATTTCACAATGTCTCTGTTATCTGAATCAAATAGTATTGTTGGAAGCTGAGTTTTATAGTGTTGAATTTGAATTTCTAGTTGAATGAGGTAGATTTAAATTACATCCCTCTGTCTCTATTTAATGTTCCCATTTTAACAAAGAGTATGAGGATTAGATCAAAGCCTACTTAGAATAAAGAACATAAGGAAAACTAGTTGCATCAAAATTTAAAATACCAACAAAATGATTAAAGTGATGTGCCTTAGTGTTTGTAGAAGTGTTTCTAAGTAATAAACACCTGTAGTTTGTAATTTCTTGTATTGGAGGCCAATACTTCCCGTGCTGGGCATACTGCCCCGTCATGCCTGTATAAGTATTCTTATTATCAACTTCAAGAATGAAATCAATGACATTAGTATTCCGGAGAATAGTATCAATTATAGCATCGTAGGATGCTATGGTCATGTCATGATTGGTTAAAATGTACGTCATATGCCCCAAATAGTTTCTGAGGTCATCCCGAATGGTAGCACTATTTTGTTTAATTAGAAAAGAAGGAAATTAGACTTTATTAAGAGACATCCAAAAAATGAATGTGAAAAATTTAACGCACAATATGAATACATGAGGTACTTCTAGTTCAGATCAAAAAATTCAACTCAAGCTTACTCGAGAGTTTAGCCTTTCAAACAAACACGACTATTTCAATCCCAGTTGTATGAAATTAAAGGGGGCGTATTGAATTAGGAATTATTGGCAAAATTTTAAAAGTCCATGGATTTTAAAAGTTTAGGTTTATCCATTTTCAAAGGTGTATCCAATGTGGACTTTTAAAAGTACTAGTAGAACACCCGTGCGATGCACGACTTATGAATTTTCACAGGTGTAGTTACTTTTATTCAAATTTGAAAAAAATATAATTTTCATTGAATCATTTAGAATAACAAAAAATTGAATCATTTAACATTATACTCCATACAATATTAAAGTTTGATATATTTTGAAATATATCCAATATGACATACCAATGATTATAAAGTAGTATGCAAATTTTTATAGCCCCACAAAATAATAAATAACACGCAGTATAAATATAATTTGAAAATATGTTCGATTACATGCTAAATGTTATTAAAAAACTTCTTTATACACAATATTATCAGTTTCGGTGTTTGTTCCTCTATCATCATTTTCAATGTGAGTTTTAATGCACAACGATTGGTTACTCTAGTAGAACACCTATGCGATGATACAATCAATGAATGTTCCCTAAAAATGGCTAAGAAATTAATTATATAAATACGTATTCTTCACATAATCACGTAAAATTGACCATGACTAAACATAGTTTTTTTCAACAACAAATCAACAACTTTGTCTAGAATCGTGATATGCTAAGTTATATTTTGGTATTGTCGCATCTAAAATTGAAATGGTAAGCTAATATCTGATTTTGTTAAGGAATGCCTGAGGAATTACAACCTTTGTCCCACACTAAACGCCCACTAAAATACTTCCTTCTAGTAAAATGCTTTACTATAATTCACCCGTGCGATGAACAAATGTTTTTGGCAAAGTTTGTTTTCCAATTTGAAAGGTTTATATATATACACATATATATATATATATATATATATATATATATATATAGGGAAAATCGCACTTATCGTCCCTGAAATAGTCGCCATATTGAAATGTCAGACCCGTATTTCCAAAGTTGTAATTGTCACCCCTTAATTGTCCAAATTGTTGTAAATGTGGTCCTTTGAGGGGTGAAATGTACTGCTCGCCCACAGTGTACTTCTCGCCCACAGTGTACATTTCACCCTCAAAGGACCACATTTACAACAATTTGGACAATTAAGGGGTGACAATTACAACTTTCGAAATACGGGTCTGACATTTCAATATGGCGACTATTTCAGGGACGAAAAGTGCGATTTTCCCATATATATATATATATATATATATGTCATGGACAGGAGAATGACTATATATATATATATAGTCATTCTCCTGTCCAGCACTTTTCTATCCAAATGCCGTCCGAACACCGCTATCTGAGACGGTTCTAGGTGGAATTTTTTGTAGAAATGTTTTGAGCATGTTCCTCATCAAGTCTAGTTTATCCATACCAAATTTCAGCTTAAAGTTCGATCGGAAAAACAGTCAAATAATTTGTTGAAGTTAACTGCGCAAAATTGTACATAGAAAAACGCAGTCAACTTCAAAAAATGATTTGAATGCCATCCCGAACGAATTTTGAGCTGATTTTTTTTGGATAAACTAGACTTGATGAAAAACATACCATAAAAATTTCATCAAAAAATTCGACTGGGAAGTGCCCCAAACGGCGGTGTTCGGACGGCATTCGGACCGGGGACTGCTGGACCTGATAATTTCTCTCTATTGAAGGTAATATATTTATAATGAGTAAGTAATAGGGTGACCATACAATATACGAATTGCATTTTTAGATGAATTGCATATGCAAATATGTGAAAGTGTGTTATGTCATTGTTAAACAATACTTGAAGATAAATTTATGGGAAAATGTGTTGCCCTTCAATTGTATCAAACATATGAGTTGAGTCCCATTACGGAAAAATAATGGTGTCATTTAAATACATTTATTTTCAGAATACCTTCAACCTAACCAACTTGAATTGTTATAGTA